ATTGATTCATGGGATCAAGAGGTTCAGGCTGACCCCACGCTAGCTTCAATTATCCAAGCGCTGGGTACTGGACAAACCGCTCCACCCGGTTATACTCTCAAGGGGGGTCACTTATTTTTCGAAGGAAGGTTAGTGATACCAAAAATTCCTCCCGGATTTATTCATTGCTCCATGATTTCCATGCATCACCCATAGGCGGTCATTCAGGTTACCTACGCACTTATAAGCGGCTCGCTTCTCTGTTCTATTGGACTGGTATGCGCCGGGATGTCCAGAAATTTGTAGCAGCTTGTGATACATGTCTTAAAAATAAGCATTTGGCCACTAGTCCAGCAGGGTTACTTCAGCCACTACCAATTCCGGATAAAGTCTGGACCGACATCTCCATGGACTTCATTAGTGGGTTACCCAAGTCTACCAAGTTCGACACTATATTTGTAGTAGTGGATCGTCTGACCAAATATGCTTATTTCCTCACTCTTCGCCATATGTATTCTGCTCATGATGTTGCTATTGTCTTTGTGAATGAAGTTGTGCGACTACACGGATTTCCTCGTTCCATTGTTTCCGACCGCGACAGGATTTTTATGAGCAACTTTTGGAAGGAACTCTTCAGATTGTTAGGTACCACTTTGAGCTTTAGCTCTAGCTATCATCCCCAAAGTGATGGTTAGACTGAAGTGGTGAATCGAAGTGTTGAAACTTATCTGCGCTGTTTTTCTAGCTCTCATCCTACTGACTGGTCCAAATGGCTTGCTTGGGCTGAATTCTGGTTCAACACTAACTTTAATCGCTCCACTGGCATGACGCCTTTCAAGGCTTTGTATGGACAGGATCCCCCAACCTTATATCGATTTCAAGAATCTTCTTCATCAGTGGATGCCGTCACTGAACATTTGCGTGCCTGCAATGTTATTCTAGATGAACTCAAGACCAATCTGGAACGGTCACAGCAATATATGAAGCTGTATGCTGACAAGAAACGTCGCGACGTCAATTTTAAGCCTGGTGATAAGGTTTATTTAAAGCTGCAACCCTATTGACATCGATCCTTAGCTCGTCGCCCTAATGAGAAGTTGAGCCCACGATACTATGGCCCTTTCCCTATTCTGACCAAAGTCGGGGCAGTGGCCTACAAGCTACAGTTACCTGCAGATGCGAAACTCCATCCGGTTTTCCATGTTTCTCAACTGCGATTGGCTCCCCCTGCGGCAGTTGTCCCGCAATCTCTTCCTCCGTTCCTTACTGTTGACCTGGAGTTATGGGTCCACCCGGAAGCTGTTCTGAAATCCCGACGTTTGACCAATGGTCAAGTTGAGTTGCTGATCAAATGGCTCCACCTCCCTGAACATGATAGCACGTGGGAAGATTATGATGCCATCCGCTTACAGTTTCCTACCTTTGTCCTTGAGGACAAGGACACACTTGTTGGGGGGGGGTAATGATGAGACGGGATCTGGACCTAAGTTGGTTTATGTTAAACGGAAGCCCAAGGGCAATTGAGAGATTGTATGCTAAACGGTTAGAGGAGAGAGACGAGAGAAATATTGTTATAAGGGGTAGTCTGTTATAGGGAGGTTATGCATGTTTTTGGGTGAGCTGTGGGAGAGGTCTGTGTCTCTCGAATACACAGAGACCAGTAGCTGTGATAGGTCCTTTCTGCATTGTATTCGTCTTCCCCTTCAGAACCATACACTGAGGGGCAGATTTTCCTTTCGATAATATCAATACAGACCTGATTCCATCAGGAGCCTGGTCATTATATGCCAAATTTATGGTTAAACTGAACGCAGTTCATAATCAGTATACTTTCATTTGAAAATTTTCGCTTCATTTATGTTTCAACATTCCTTTTAGTTTTTTAACTACAAGTAACACTGGGATTTCTTGTTGCAGATCCATATCATGTCCATTGATTTTATTCTGCTTTCTTCATTTGCTCCATTTTGGGTTTACAATGATATGACTGCTCGGAAATGGTATGTTGCTTTGCATGTTTTCATTTTTACATACCAAGAAGGCAATTAAATAGATGGTTTATCAAGCATAAGCATTAATGGTAGGTTCAATTTGCAGGTTTGACAAAGGTTCTTGGCTTCTTCCTCTGTCGCTGGTACCATTTCTGGGTCCTGCTTTATACGTTTTCCTTAGGCCGTCGCTGTCAGAAATCGCCAGTCCTACAGCTGAGGCAGAGTAAAGTCGACTTGTCACAAGTCTGTGTGGTTACTGCCAATGGAAGGGATTACTCATTTTTCATGCTGCAAGAATTGAAGATGATGGTGATTCTGTGAAGCATGATTCAGAAAAGCCAGTGTCTTTCTACACAGCACACAACAGAGTTCCAGCAGCTTACACCACCTGATGAGATTCAATGCTAATCTCTGATCAAATAGAAGCAGCGGGCTTGCCTGGTTTTGTTCAGTTCTTTGAGAATCAAATTGATCAAGTCAAGACCTCCTCTCGTAATCTTTTCATCATGATAGAGAATAAAACCAGAAGCAAGTCATATATAGATGAAGTGCAAGTTTTGCTTCTATGAAGAGCATTTTTCTCAAACCAAATTTACCCACTATCCCTAAAAGATAAAATATTTATTTTCTTCTATTTTTTAAAATTAGAACTTAATAGTTTCGACACGTGACTGTTGCATTTTTTTTTTTTATACATATGCATGAGGTTTATAACTTCGGGAAAAGTAAATTATTGTGCATACACAGGAAAGGCTTAAAAAAAAAATATATGTTGGATGATAAGGAAAATAAGCGCAAGAAAGAGGTCAACGTAAAGAAATTTCGAAGTTAATATGTTAATAGTTTAACAATGATACGTACATGCAATAACCCATCAAATAGTGCCATTGGTTTGATAAACTCAATGTCAGTTTTTAATATAAGAATTATTTTGACTTTAAATTTGGTCTTAAATATAACATTTTAATCTATTCTGTTTTTCATATTTATTTTTTTAAAGTAGTCTCTGTAGTAGTTGCACATGTTAAATATTCAATCAAATAGTAGTTTTAGCTAATACATGTGATTAGCAAGGGTATTCTAGAAAAGAAAATATTTATTTATTACAAATAACTAACCTAATTAATTTTTTTAATTTTTTTTTTGAGTTACAAGGGAGCGGGATCGAACCCGCATCACACACACACCCACGCACACATCCACGCCATTAGGCCAATAGGCCGGTGGTTAATTTTTTCAAATTAATTAACTAAGTCTCATATTAAGGATTGAATGTAATACTATGGACAATTGAAAAGGAGAGCCGTGATCAGTAAACGAAACTCCAAGGGAATAGAATTACAAGATCCCTTTTGGGAATTACAATAACCATCAAATTAGGATAATGATTGATGATTGATTTGGATTCAGTTTTAAATATTTGATGTACAAGGATCAAACTGAAAATTAATAAATTACAGGGGACAAATGGATTTTTTTTTCCAATTTTAAATATTTGTGTGATTGTGGCCCGTGTTTAGGGCTAAGCGTTTTTCTTCTGGGGACAACTTGAAATATATTGTATTTATTTTTGGATTGGAGTTAGCAAGATTGGGCTTCATTATTCCAGTTAATACCATGTATGTAGGTGAAATATAGAAATGCTCAAAACGGCATGAGTTTTATACCTTTATAAAATAATGGTTAAAGTATACCATTTTTGATCTTTTAATTTTATATAGGGCTTCATTTGGTCTTGTAACTTATTTTTAATTCTTTAAATTTAAAATCATTAATCTTAAATGATAATTTTTTATAACAATCATGTTTATTTTGAAAATTAAATTTAATATATTAACATTTGAGAATATTTTATTAATATGTAATATCTCAATAAATGATTTTATCCTAAATCCATTTTGGTCTTGAAATTATATAATTATCATCATTTTTTGTCATCTGTTTTAGGAATTAAAAGACTAAAAATAAGCTTTTTAAAATTAAGTGACTAAATTTAAAATGTTGCATAAAATTAAAAGACTAATAATATACTTTAGCATGAAATAAAAAAGGATAAACGTGCAATTTTATTTCTGATCTTATTTTTTCTGTGCATCTAGCATTCTTAATTTTTTAAAAGTGCAATTTTACCCATGATTTTTTTTATTGCAATATTACCCTTGATTTTATATTTTAGATGCACTAAAATAAAAATATCATGAATAAAATTGTATCACTAAAAAGATGAAGTGTTGGTTGCACTTTAGAAATAAGACTAAGTGTGAAATTGCATATTTACCCATCAAAGTATTAAATACTACTCCTTCCGATTTTTTTTTTTTATAAGAGCTTAAAAATTGAATTGCTTTGCTCTTTTTTATAAAATTCCACTTCTAGTTATCTAAACAATTAATGTGTTTTTACTATTTTTTTCCTAATTAATTTTATTGATTGCATTAATTAAAATGTTTGCTACATTCCTTTTCATATTTTTTTTCTTTTACTTGCCCTTTATAAATAAGGGCATGTTTGTAAAAAAAATAATTTTTTACATATTTATTACTTTTAACTTAAATCGTATAATTTAGTTATTAGATTTTTGTAAAAAAAGACCAGAAAGAGTATTAATTTTACGTATTTTTTCCTATTTGTTATCATAAGTAAGACTTTTTACCATCTACCCAGCATAAAGCATGTCTTAACGAAAATAAAATATATATTTGATGATTATCTACCCAGCATAAAGCATGTCTTAACGAAAATAAAATATATATTTGATGATTATTTAAAAATATCTCATTATATAATAAATTAAAAAAAAAGGTGATAACAAATATAAAATATAGTAAATGGGTGTGTGCTTTTTTTCTTTCCTCCCAAAAAACATCTTTGACCAAATTTTGGCCCAAAAAAAATATCCTTGACCAAATATATGCTAAACAATGCTATTTAAGCAAATGCAATTTAAAAACAAATTATTTTCTTTGCAATCCCCACAATTCATATTCTCCCGCAGCATCGGCATCACTTCTCACCCCACCGCCCAAAATAATAGACGTCTCTCCCCTTAAATCCTATAACGTGAGAACCAGAGCAGGTTCACCAATCGCAATCCGGCCGCGTCAAATCGGATCTCAGTGCTCTCCGCTCTCACCCTTATTCTTCCGTCGACCTTGATACTGTGCTCGGCCTCAGAATTTGAAATTTATCGCGCTTGTAAGTTTCTTTTTGTTGTTTTCATGTATTCATATGTAGTAGTAGTTGCTCTTTTAAGTGAAATTTCACTTTTATTATTCTGGGGTGTTCTGTTTTATCTTAATTCAGTGCAAAGTTGAAATTTTTACGTTCTGTTTGCATTTCACTTAAACGATATTTCTAGTTTATAAATGCATATTCCTGTCCATGCTTCAGAGTGTAGTCTCATTTGGAAAGTTATGCTGTCGCTTCATGTTATGCAAATTTCTTTTGGTAAAATAATACACGAAATTTTTATTGTACAGGCATTGGTATACTATACCTAATTAGGGAATGTTTTCTGGATTGAAATTCATCCCTCGTGATCAGATCAATAAGGTTAGCGTATTTCTGCCATAATCAGATGTTCATATATACACACACACACATATATGTTTACGATCATGATAAGCTAGGCTGAACTGAAAACTTTCATTGTTATATCGGTGCTATGACAGGATGAGAACTTAGATTCTTCCTTGAAAGAGAGGAACAAATCTGATGCTAGAAAGAAAAAGAGTAAGAGTAAAAGGAAGAGCTCTAGATATGACTCTTCAGATGATGAGAGTCTTGAAAAGATCAAAAGGGCTTCTGGAAAGAAGAAGTGGTACTCCTCGGAAGAAGATTCTTCATCAAGTGAAAGTTCACAGGACAAAAAGAAGCGTAAGAAAAGGACACGAAAGAGAACTTATGATAATTGGTCTGATGACTCTGGAGAAAGGTCAAAAAGAAGATTAAGGTCGAGGAGCGGTAAAAAAGAATATACATCTGAAGAAGGTTCTTCATCAACTTCTGATGATAGTGATAGCTTTTTGGATGGACAAGCAAAGCCTAAAAAGACCCAAAGAAACGATGGGAGTCAAAAGAACAAGATAAAAGAGGAAGGTATAAATATTGCACCAAATTCATTAAGTGAGAAGGAGATCGCAAGAAAAGAAATGGGATTAGAGTGGATGCTTCGGTCTGAAAATAAGAGGCCTGCAGAACCAATTGAAAAAATAGCAGAGCAACCTTCAGTTGAGGAGGTATGTTTTAGTTGGAGAAAATTTTTCTAATTTCAGTCGTTAAAACACTGCTATATCCAATATAGTTGTAACGAAAGAAAGGATAATGCATACATATAGATCTTTGATATCTTATTGGCTCTTAATAATTTTGTACTGTACATCTAGGACTCTTGACCTGATTTTGCTTGAGAAATTTTTGCTGTCTAATGATATTCCTCAGTGGAGGAGAGTTTTGGACCATTGATATCTTATTGGAAATTGATAACTATTGTGCTTGTCTACACTCTAACTGGCCTGTTTACTACCGTATGTTGTTGGCCCAAGTGATGTAGGAGTGAGTCATGTTTTATTTTCCGTTGTTGATGCTCCAATTAGAATGTGTTTCCATATTCTATCAGTCTGAAATGTGCCTTTGTTTTGAAATTTGTCTTAATCTTTCAACCCATATGGTAGACAGTGTTTGCTTTTTTCTTGTTTTTTTTATTCAAAGTAGACAGTGTTTGCTTACCATACGCTTTTCCTCCCATAGACAGAGACTGTGAATCCCAAGGAATTGAATCCATACCTGAGAGATGATGGAAGTGGTTACCCAGAAGATAGTGATGGGGTTAAAGCTGGTGCAGACCAACTCTTATCTTCTTCCCTTGTTGGGGATGGCGGAGCCAGCTGGAGACTTAAAGCATTGAAGCGGGCACAAGAGCAAGCAGCTCGAGAGGGACGAAGGCTGGAGGAGGTATTGTGTGCTGCCTCTCTTATATGCTTTGAGTCCATCTTTGAGATTTTTGCTCCTAATTACTTTTATGCATTTGAATAAGTATAGGTTGTGGGAGAAAGATGGGGTTCACTTGGTGGTTTGACTGCATCTTTGGCATCTCATGCAGCAGCCCCATCTCGTTCTCATTTGCGTGCCATTAAAAGCAGGAAGAGAGGACTGACCGAAGAAGAAACACTAGATTCAGATAATCATGGAAAGGACACTAAAAGGGTAAGTTGGATTTCATTGAGAAAAAAATTTTCTGTTGCTATATTTTTCCCCTTTTTTTTTTTTTTAATTTTTAATGAAATGAATCCAGTTTATTGATGAATTAACATTATATTTTATGAAATTCATTTGTCAATTCTTGTAGAGGTTACTGAATTTGCTTGATAAAATTCTGGCAGGATTACTTGAAGGATGTATCTGTCCGACACCGTGAAATGAGGGCGCCTAAAATTCGAGATTCTTTATCCTGGGGTAAGCGTAAAAGTCAAGCTGTTGCAGCTGAGGATGCAAGGATTATTTCTGCAGCAGCATCTAGCATAAACAAGTTTGCTAACGATGGTAACTTTATGGATGAGTTCCTTTCCGAGAAGAAGAATGATTTTGATGGGCATGTTCAGGAAGATATCAAGGTGGAAAGCTCTCCATCAGATGCTGACAGACCTGCCCAGATGAGTCCTAATATTAAAGAGCAAGATCCACATACACCAGGCCTTGGGGTAATACAATAAAAAAAAAAATCACATTCTTCTTGGATTCACTTTTCCCCAATGCAACTCTTATTCGTAACTCTGTAGTTTGGAATTGATGAATGCTTATGAATGTAATAGTATTACTGTGATGGAGGATTAAACATCTTTGATATTATATCCCCTAGCTGGAATGAGTCTGTTTTTTGTGCCTCTATTGTGTTGAGTTTGGAAAGTTTTCTCTTTACCTTTGTGTTAGGTAATGATGGTTTGTTTTGGTTTCTGACAATATTTAGAATTTTCGATAACTAAGAAAATTTTTCATGGATAATAGATTCTTGTGAAGCTGTGATGAGGAAAGGAAATGTTTTTATTCATAGACTGTCGCCAGGCCCTTAGATCTAATTTGGGACAGCATGGCAATTTTTGGCATTTCTTTGGTTTTCAGCTCATATTATGTTCAAGGATGTCCTTGTAATAGACATCCAAAGGGGCGGGAGTAACCATATCTTTTTGTTTTTTCTTTTTTTTTGGGTATTGATGTCTAGCTTGTTTTGTTAGTTGTTTTTGTTTCTTCTGCTTCTTTGCTAAGGTCAATCTCTTGTCCCCCTCTTTTTTGTTACCTTTTCTTCTGGTCTCTAATAAGATTTCTTCTTTTTATGCTAAAAATGTAAGGATGGGATGAGTGCGAACCAGTTGGCAGCTAAGGCTATGCAGCTGCGTTTAAAGGGAAAGCATGAAGAAGCTGAGAAATTATTGGTAAGATGAGAAAATGTTCCTCTAATCTACACTTTGTTTATATTGCAGTTTAAGTTCTATGCTTTCTTACTTATTCTGGCGCACTCATTCTATAGGGTTTGTAGAGTGTATATATTCTGCATTGGCTTTAATTCTAGTTAATTCATCAATTCATTTCTTTTAAAGTTATCAAATAGTGAGGTGACAGTCATTGCTAACAGTTTTGTTTTCAGCGAACATTCCAGTTGTTTATGTGGAAGCATATTTCTAATATTAAGAGAATATGACTTCTAGATGCTCTGCTGAATTTTTGGTATTCTGTCCCCTGAGAATGAGAACAAACTGGGGCCTAAGCCTTAAATTTTCTGGAATGTTGATCGTCTTGATTTTCTTTTATTTAGGCTGGAACTAGACGCATGTTAGGCATGTTTAGAATTTTATTCACAAAACTAGACTTGAATTCATTCAGTATTCACTGCACGGATGAACATTTTTATTTGTTCGTGAAATTTAGGGTGATAACAAAATTATGCTCAGTGGAACTTAGGTACTGAAGAAAATTCAACACAGACCAGCCTTTGTAGCTTCTTTTATTCATATGACTCTCTTATTGCTGATAAGGTTTTATTTCTATAAGACTGCCAGACAATGAAGCTCCAAGACTCCCAATTCTTTGACATTACCCCTTACTCTCTACGATTTAGTCTAGTTTTTTTAACAGTCAGCCTTTCTCTGTTGTCAGTCTTCTTGTACAACTTACCATGTTATTTATGTGAGTTTTTCATTGGGATAATTTTCTTTAACAATTTTTGTTGTCTGTTGGCGGTTGTGAGAGAATGGGAGTAGTTGTGTTGCTCTTTCTTTTTGCTGTTTATTATTTTTTGTCTTGCTTGGAATATCTATTGTCATGTTGTCATCTGCAACATATCCTTTAGGTTCAGTGATAATTTGAATATTTGAACCCGTTTTCTGGTTTCCTTTTCTCTTATGGGCAGCAAAAGTCTAAGAGCATGACCACAAAACCAAGCAATCAAGATCAAATAATCAGGCCAAGAACCGACGGAAGTGCTAGCAGGTACTTCCCTCTTTTTGGAACTCTATCTCGATCTTTTTTATTTTTGGTTGAGTCTATCTCTATGCAACCAAAGAAATCAAATAGACCAAGGTGCAAAATTATTTAGGAGTTAGACATGAAATCTATCAATTAACACATAGAACTCCCTAACATTACCTACATGCCCGTGATGCACGGTAACCACTAATTAGGCCCTGTTAATCAATTAGTGGTGACAAGAGACTAAGTTTAGGGATAGAAATATATTCAAATAGTGGGACTTACCACTCTATCTTCTAAGTCCCTTAATTCTGGATATGTTTGATATAGCTACTTCTGATGTGCCTTGTGACTAAGGTGCAGTTTCTTCAATAGTTCCAGAAAAAATGCTAATTCTTCTTATATAATAGTTTGTTTTCGTTTCTTTGTACTTTCTTCTATTTAAGTAACTAAAAATTGCTCTACGTGCTTGTCCTTGTTCTGAAAACTGCGTAGTAGCTGTTTGTTTCTTGTAAATTGCCATTGTAATAGCTATTTTGACACTTCCACTCTTTGTAAGATATGCCAAGCAGAGCATATCCTTTCAGCAGAAAAAAGGAGAGGATGATGCTGATATGCATCTTGCTCAGAAGATTATGCAGAACAAGCAGTTTAAAATTTCTAGTCGGGCAGATGATGAGTATGACTATGAAGATGGTGAAAGCAGAAAGAGCCGAAAGAAGAGAGATAGCAATGACCATAAAACGGCTCAAAAGAACACTCTTGCTAAGCGGATTTTGACCCAGCAAGAGCGTTGCCTCTTTTGTCTAGAGAATCCTAATCGTCCCATGCATCTCGTCGTTTCGATAGCAAATCACACATATCTGATGTTGCCAAAGTGGCAGCCTGTGGTGCCTGGCCATTGTTGCATTTTACCCATTCAGGTGAGCTTATTTTTATTGTCAATATACTAATTGGTGTTCAAACTAACCTAAAGCATCATGATTTTCCCTACCAGAAACAAAATTCTAAAATATGACTGAATGTCATAGTACTTTTTTTTAGTAAGCAGCGAATGTCTTAATACTCTAATAATGACCTTTGCTGCATATCTCTCAATAATGACCGGGACACAATTTTCTATGTATGATGAAAGAAATTATTTAACTATGAAAAAGGCATCTGAAGCAAAATGGTCATGCTTAAGGTTTTGAAGTATCTTCATAGAGACAATGAGGAAAGAGGAAAGTCTTGGACAACATTTTGGTGACGGGGACTATAATTTTTTTGGCATTTGCTTAAACTGTCCTGATTTTATGCGGTACCACTGCTTGTCTTTGGAAAATGGAAAGCAACATAGAAGTATAAGGCGGACGTTAATTTTTCTTTTTTGGCTATCATATGTGTGGCATTAATTGAAATATAGTGACTGAGTTGAGCTTTGTGTATCTTTACAATAAGGCAATAGTGTTGTAATTACTATTAATATTATTATTTACCTTTCAGCTCTAAAATTTTGTATTTATCTGCTACTTGTTACTTTACAGCATGAATCAGCTACAAGAACTGTGGATGACACTGTGTGGACTGAAATTCGGAACTTCAAGAAATGCCTCATTATGATGTTTGCAAAGCAAGAGAAGGAGGTGGTGTTTCTTGAAACTGTGATGGGATTGGCACAACAGCGTCGCCATTGTATGATTGAATGCATTCCCTTGCCCCAGGATATTGCCAAAGAGGCTCCTTTGTACTTTAAGAAGGTTAGATTTCAAATATCATCTTTGTTTAGTATCATCTGTTGACACCAGGACTAACTGTATCATTGATGAGTCATACTTCACTCTGCTGCCATTTACATTAAGCTTGCAAAAATTGCTATTCCATTGACAATTGGCTTTATTCTTTATGGTATTTGTTGTTAGAAGTGGGATTGATGCTGGTATCTGTGGTCAAAGGCCCCGTGATAGTGGTAGAATCTGATTTTTAATGTTTCTACATGCTGTGATATAGTTTGTTGTTATCTTGATTTGGATTATACTTGACATTATTATTTTATTGCTTTCTGCTAAATGTCCCTGCATTTGGTCTGTACCTTTGGCTTTTCCCTGCTATCACTGACACCGAATTCTATCTCATGAAATAAAACAAGATACTGTTTTTGAAGAAATGACCCCTCAAAAGCAGCCGTATTCGGTGCAATGCTGATATACTATATTCATGCTCTTTCATTTTGTGCTCACTATGTGATTCGATTCATCTTTATTTTCAAAATTTTCAACTCATTGTCGCTTCTCAAATTGATGGCATCACAGGCAATTGATGAAGCTGAAGATGAGTGGAGCCAGCACAATGCCAAAAAGCTCATCGATACAAGTCAAAAGGGATTGCGGAATTCTATTCCCAAGCATTTCCCTTACTTCCACGTTGAGTTTGGACTGAACAAAGGTTTTGTGCATGTTATAGATGATGAGAAGCAGTTCAATAGCAACCTTGGCCTTAATGTCATCAGGGGAATGCTGCATCTGGCTGAGGAGGACATGTACCGGCGCCGGCGTTATGAGGCAGTGGATGTGCAAAAACAAGCAGTTGCCAGCTTCTTAAAAGAGTGGGGCCCCTTTGACTGGACAAAGCAGCTTCATGAAGGGTGATTTTACCTATCATTTGGTGTTTCCAACTTAATTTGACTTGTAGATATTTGTAAAAAGATACTCATTGTAGCGAGTAAAAATAACACTAGCATTTTTGTCTTTCAGATTTTTTTTTTTTGGGGTGAGAAATCTTCTTTTAGATTTTATGTATTAGAGAAAGGCATATTTTGTTTGTATTATTTCGGTGCAGTTTAGAAATAACATTCTATACTCAGATGCAGCACCACTTTGAGACCACTTGCTGTTTCTTATTTCTCCAGGTTATAAGGATGCCCCATACATAGGAGCAATAGCCAATAATATCTTTCAAACGTTGAGCCGCCTCAGTTAGGATCTTTTAAAAACGCAATGCCTCTAGCGTCGCCTTTTGCAATTAACTAAGGTCCTGTTTGGCAAAGCGATAGAAATCAGTTATAAGCATGTTTTATGTAAACTAAGACAAAACTCATCTCACATACTTATCTCGTATTTTGTAAATCACCATTAAAAAGTTATTTATAAGCCATCGGCTCTAAACCTTGTCTTGGTTTTTCTGTAGATACCTAAGAATCCTGTTGACAGTTGTGTGTGGGGGTGAGAAAATTAGCTTTCCAATTGTACGATTGGGTTTAATGGTTCCATTGGAATATTTGCAAGCCTAGCTATCAGCAGCTCAGTCTCCTTTAATAAGTTTGGGGTGTGTGTCCGTACCCCAGAAATACCTTAATGACCCGAAGTGTTTGATTTCAAATTCATCGTATGGTTAGATTAGATATGCTGTCATGGGTTGAAATGAAGCCTCCGAAGGCTAAGCAGCAGATGTTTAGGAAGCTGACTTCATGATTCACAATTAGATATTGATTTTTAGGGAATTTTTTCCCTTAAAAAAGATTAATGTACTAGAAAATATGTTTTTTTACAAACAAATATGAACAAATTTTATGGTGAATATTATGACATGGCTTAAGGAATAGGGCTCAATATTATTGTTTTTATTATAATAAATTTTAAGAAATATACTAGAAATTATGTTTTTTTAAAAAAAATATTAATATTGGCTTTTTCGTATTCCTCCAGGTTATAAGGATGCCCATACATACTGCAAATTACCTCCATGCCCCATGATCTTTTCTTTATGTATAATTTTATTTATGATCTTATTTTTCAAATACACTAAAATAAAAAAAATCATGGGTAAAATTGTATCAAGATTTTTTTTTACCAGCAAATTGTATCAAGATTAAGGTATTAAGTGCACATGAGAGATAATATTAGTGATCAAATGCACCTTCACCCTTTGCAAAATTATTAATAAAATTTTAAATTATTAAAAACAAATAAATAAATTCAAACTCCTAAGTTTTAGTTAGGACAGTTCAACATGATACTATCTCTAGTACTTAATACAATAGTTTGATATTCAATTTGGCTTTAAATATAATATTCCAATTCACTCTGTTTAGCATATTTATCCATTCTTTTTCAAGGCAGTCTTTGTAATAGCTGTACATATTAAATGTTTTATCAAATAGTAATTTTAGCCAGCACACATGATTAGCAAAGGTGTTTTAGGGAAGACAATACCTATTTATTACAAATAACTAACTCAAACTAATTTTTTTAATATACTCAAATTAGTCAACTAGCTCTTATATTAAGGATCATAATAAAGAATATATAAAAAAATTATCTTATAAAACATTAAATTTAGATTTTGACAATTGAAACAATAAATGAGAAGGTGGAGTGATTCCTTTTTCTTTTTTTTTCCAATACAAGAGAGTGAGTTGCTCAGTAAAATACAAACTAGTCAAAGGAGAAATTAGATCTATACACTCAGAACGTGAGAAGTAACTAAGGCGCCTAACCGTGGAGGACAAGAGCCTTGAGAGAAAATATTTACTCATGCCCTCTTTAGCAGGAAAGTCAGCAACTCGATCCCTCTCCATGGGACTCCACATCATTTTTCCAGTGCCGTCCACACTTGAGAAGTGTTAGGAGACGACATTCTAAATAGGGCCCAAAATTGGATTTAAGGTCTTTTCTTTTTGGGCTGAAATTGGATGTGTGGACTGGAATCATATTTTTCTAAGTAGGGCCCCAAATTGGATGTAAGGACTTTTCGTTCTAGCCCAAGATGTAGTTTTGGGCCACACTTAAGAAGGGTTGGGAGACAACATTCTAAATGGGGCCTAAAATTGGAAATAACGACTTCTTTTTTGGGCCAAAATTGGATGTGTGGACTAGAATACTCCTCTGATCCTTAATATAAGACCCATTTAACTAATTTGATTAGATTAAAGAAGTTAGGTAAGTTAGTTAATTATAAGAAAAGTGACACATTTTTCCTAAAACACCATAATCATCTTTATTAATACCTCCTCTTCCTCTTCTACTTGACTATGGTTGAGGGGGTATCCATAGGGGTAATTTAAAGAAAATTGATAAATATGAGAAATGGATCTTATATTTAGGATCAAAACCAACTCAAGAATTGGGTCTTATATTAAAGACCGGAAGAGTAATATTTTTTGTGCTTGTTATGTTTTAGCTACATTGTGGGCCCAAAGTCTATTATGAGGGTATTTGTTATTATGGCTGGTCCTAATTATAAAATCTCATTTATAGTTTACAAATAAGATCTTATAATTAGAATCGGAGGTAGTATAACTTATGAGGCCCTAAATGTGAGTGTGCGTGTCTTTTTGTTTCTCTATTTCTGTTTTTTTTTTTTTTTTTTGAGGTGAATCAAAGGGGTTAGGCCCTTTGTTTCCCTGATTCAGGGGCGTATTGTTTTTGTTTGTTTAATGGAAAGACAAAGTCATCTTGATAACCATATTAAATTACAACGTAATTAACATGGATAGTGTTTGTTTTTTTCATAAAAAAAAGTAGTGTATTGTTTTCTTTTTTCTCGTTAATAAAAATTTGACCTTAGGATAAAAAAATACAATTTTGATTAAAATAAAATATAAAAAAATATCTTGATATCAAATAATAATTTTTTAACCAGCATATAAAATAATGGTTTTAAATAAACCAAATAGCATAATGAATTTTATAGTAGTACTTATTAAATATTTAATATTATTTAATATTTATTTTTTTATATTACTTAATATTTAATTTAACTTTATGTTTTCATTCCACTTTTCACCTTCTGTCACGCTCATGTTACTGTGCTTGTTTAGCGACTGGGTTTTAGTGGAAAATAAGGTTATACTTGCTGTTAAAGTTATCTAAACTGATGTTTCTCCCTGGAAAGCAATCAGAGGCAAACTTAGCATTAAATTAAACTAAGTTATGAAATACTGTTCTAAGAATCATAATACATTAAGTGGTAAAATTTTTTGAAATATCGTTCCAAGTATAGCATGGAATCAATCTATATCTCATATGTATTTCTCCTTTGAAGGAGTATGATGGGATTCTGCAGTTAGGATGGTGTTTCTTGCATCTTATAAGACAATCATGTTGAGCTTGGAGAAGGCACTTGCTAGTTTAATTCTGTAAATCTGTATTGAAGTTGGAATTCAATTACAAAATCATATTTTCGGGCGCAAGTTATCTAAATGTTATCATCTAGAGTTTTTATTTAAGTGCAAAACTTGATAGACATTCAGAAAAGTTCCTATAAAATCTTGATTATTTGGTTTACCAATGGTTATATTATCTTTATGTGCAGTTCATTTTACAAATTCTTGTAGAGGTTACTGAATTTGACATAACTAGAGGGTGCATCAGTCGGGCACTGGAGAATGCAGGCACCTAAACTTCAAGATTCTTTATTATGGGGTAAACGAAAAACTCAAGCTGTGGCAGCTGAGGATGCCAGGATCTTTGCAGCAGATAATGGTTCCAAGAAGAAAAAAGAGTTCCACGGAGTTATTCAGGAAAATGTGGTGAGTTCTATGGGGTTCTCTGGCCTTGTCACTTTTGTTTGTTTTCTATTTTCTTCATTACTAAGTTCAATATCTTATTCCCCTATTTTTTTGTTACCTTCTTTTCTGCTCCCTGGTAAGATTTCTTATTTTATGCAAAATGAAAAGGATGGGATGACTGAAAACCAATTAACAGCTAAGGCTTTGCAGCTACGTTTGAAGGGAAAGCATGACGAAGCTGAGAAATTATTGGTGAGTTGAGAAAAAGTTATCTCTAAACTAGATAACCTGATTCCATTTTTTTATCTTCTCTTGTTTATGTGGGCAAAGGGTATGAGCTCAAAGCAGGGGAATCAAGGATACATAATCAGTCCAAGAACTGAAGGAAGTTCAGGCAGGTATTTTTCTATTTTTAGAATTCTATCTCAATTACCATTAACACTTAAGATTGCTGTTGACATTTCCCATTCTGACCCAGCAAAAAGGGCCTTCCAAAGAATGATGATCATGCAAAGCATATTTCAACACAGCAGGAGCGTTGCTTCTTTTGCCTGGAAAATACAGATCGTCCAATGCATCTTGTGATTTCAATTGCAAATTGCACATATCTAACCAAATTGGCAGCCGGTGGTGCCCGCTCATTGTTGCATTTTACCCATTCTGGTGAGCTTACCTTTGATGTCGGTATGCTTCTTGTCTTTTTAACTAACTTCCTTACAACACACTTTTTCTACTGGTTTAAAGCAGCAATGGTATTAATACTCAATAATGATCTGGTCACATGTTTCTTTAAAGGCATCTGAAGCAAATGCTTATCCTTAAAGATTTGAACTATCTTTTTCTATTGAGACTATGGGGAAGGATGAAAGTCTTAGATGAGATTGTAGTCACAAGGACTAGAAATTATGGTTGTCATGGTTGGTTGTCCTATTGCTTGTCTTTGGAAAAAAGTGAAAGCAACGCCAATTTTTATAACCTGACCTTAAATTTTTGTTTGTTGTTCATCGCAAATTTGTTGTTAATTGAAATATGGTGAACTAAGTTGAGTTTCTGGATCTGTAAAATAAGACAGTGTTGTAATAACTATTAATAATGTTAGTAACCTTTCAGCTCTAAATTGTGTATTTGCCTACTATACTTGACAGCATGAATCAGCTACAAGAGCTGTGGATGATGATGTGTGGATTGAAGTTCATAATTTCAAGCAATGCTCAAGTATGATGTTCGCAAAGCAAGAGAAGGAGTTGATTTTTCTTGAAACCGTGATTGGATTAGCGCAACAGCGCCGTCATTGCATGATTGAGTGCATACCAGTACCCAAAGATGTCGCCAGAACGGCTCCTTCATACTTCAAGAAGGTTAGATCTCGAACACTTTCTTTGTCTAGTACTATCGGTCTTAGATATAAAAGCTAGTTAACTAATTTGAGTATATTAAAAAAATAAGTTAAGTTAGTTATTTCTAATAAATAAGTATTGTATTTCTTAAAATATCTTGGTTAATCAAGTGTATTGGCTAGAATTACTATTATTTGAAGGACTATATTGAAAAAAAATGAATAAATATGAGAGACAAAGTTGATTGAGGCCTTATATTTAGGACCAAAATAAAAGTTAAATAAGGTTATATATTAAGGATCGGAGGTAGTATTATATATTGACACCATGACTGACTTGACCATAGATGATATTTGCTCCACTTTGCTGGGCATTTTACATGGAGAGTGCAGAAAGTGCTATTCCTTTGTAGTTTCTTTATTCTTTGGGGTATTCGGTGTTAGCAGTAGGATGATATTGCTATCAGTGATCAATAGCCCTTTAATGCTGGTAGAAACTGATTTTTATGTTTCTATTTGCTGTGATCACTTTTTTTTTTTTATCTGAATATGCTTGAGGTTATTATTTTATTGCTTTCTGCATAATGTCTCCATTGCATTTACTCTCTACTTTTGGCTTTTCGTTGCTCTTAGTGACCCTGCAAATCTATTTGCTATTTCATGAAATACAAGATATCTGTTTAAAGAAATGATAGCTCTGAAACTGCAGTATTTCGTTCAATGCTCATGCAGAAACAAGCTGTTGCCAGATTCTTGAAAGAGTGGGAGCCCTTCGACTGGACAAAACAGCTCCATGAAGGGTGATCACACCTCTGCGCCTCTGTTTCTAACACACTTTTGACTTGTAGATATTTCTAAGTAATACTTATTGTAGCAAGTGAAAATTGTATAGGTTTCCAGGTAATACTTCTTGACTTCTTGTTATGTAATATTTTTCCAATAGCAACTGTATATCAATTACTCAACAAAAGGCAGTAAGGCATTACAAAGCAAAAACCATCTACCATCTTTGATCAAGCACTTATTGTTGATATTGCCAAGTAACATTTATTGTAGCAAATAAAAATAATTGCGAAGGTTTTATGTTTTTTTTTAGGGGAATTACAATTAGGTCTTAAGGAATGGATTTAATTAACCTAGAGTCTATTGACAATTAAAAAGTATGTAATGACAGGTTTTAGGATAGGAAAAGGAAATGAGAACAAGTTCATGCTGGTCACTTATTATTAGGATAAAATATGTAATGGGGTCTTATATTTAGGATTAAAATAAAAGTCAAACGAATTCTTATATTAAGAATCAAAAGTAGCAGCAAATATACAACTAAATATGTGTTGGGGCATATTTGCACGGTGTTAAACTTTGGAAATCAAAAGCAGCGTTACAAAATTTTAAATTAGCACCATTGGCCGCTTGGCCGAGTGGTATGTATGGGGTACATGTTGCGAGTTTGAACCTGCCCTCTTATAACTCAAAAAAAAAATTTTAAATTAGCACAAAGGGTTTAATTTGACATTTTGCAAATTAGGATTATTGATTTGTTATTTACTAATTTCAAAGATTTTTTTTTTCATTTTACCAATTATTTGAGTTTTCCTTAATACAGTTTTTATATAATAAGTCACCTTCTTAATCCATCCAAAAATTTCCTTTTTTTGGGTAAATTTATTATGGGCTTTTAAGAAAAAAAATTATAATTACTAAAAGGTTTAATAAGAAGTCACAGAATAAAAAATAACAAGTTTATGCTACTTATTTGTCAATTGAGGTTTTTGATAGTTATATATATTTATCTTGTAGTTTTTTTTTGGGAAAAAGCTTATATCAATATCCATTAGGAGTATATCAAATTCTCTAATCACACATGATTATGTGTTATTTTTTTGTTTTGTGTAAATTTATAATTAAATGCTACTCCCTCCGTTCTTTATTATAAGAGACAAATAACCGAATTACGTTGATCAAAAAAGCAGTTAAAATTAGTTAAGAACAATCAATGTGTAAAAAATATAATTTTTTTTCCAAAAATGCCCTCATTAATAAGGAGAGAGAGCATGAGATAGAACAATTAAATTATTAAAAGAAAGAGAAGTAGGAGGGAGAGAGAGTGTGAGTTGGAGACAATAAATATGAGTAAAATAGGAAATCAACACAAAAAAGTATAGACAACTTTAAGTGTCTCTTATATATAGGAACATGCCATAAGCATCAAATGTCTCTTATAATAAGGAACGGAGGGAATATTAAATACTAATATTTAAAAAATAGGATATATAATCATATGTCATTAGAAAAATTAATATAATAAATATAAATAACTTGATGGAAGCACTGTGCAAATTTTTTTTTTCCATGTCTATGGAACCCAAAGGCTGTTTTTTTTTTTTTGAATAAATACCGGATATTATTACTTTAACAGGAGCAATACGAGGTAGAAATCAACAACGAAAAGCAAAGAAAATAACAGATCACGCTTTTAAATTTACCCATATGTCCTCTTGATGCTTCTCGGTTCTCCCCTTCGCTCCCGTGTGATTCTGCTTCGAGTTCGATTCGGACCTCTTGAAGCTGATATCTCTCGACTATTATCGAACCGATTCTGGAACAACGCGGACGCTGACACTCTCGCGAACTCGAGTTAAGATCAAAGGCGGTCCCAATTACGACTCCCATCCAGCTCTTGGCCTCGCCCGCGTCCACGCCCTCACGTCGACGCTACTCCTTCATTCTTCCCTTTCCAAGGTTGCTGGCCGCCGCATCCCCTCTCTACACTGCTTTCGCTGCTCAACATCGCCGGGGTAAGCTTCAATTTCTCTCTCGAACTTTCACACTACTCTGCCATATCCTTCCAAAATCCCTAAATCCCCCTCTTCGAGTGATCTGCCTCCTATTTTTTTGGCTTCTGTTTGGTTCTTTGCTCGAATGTACATGATTTGGCGCCTGTTTGGTAGGGATTGGTTGGTACTGCGAAGTCTCACTCATACACAAACTCACTCTCTGCGATTGCTCTGCTGTATATATGTTATTGGTAACTGGGAAGAGTTACAAATGCAGTGTTAGCACCATTTTTTTTTTAATTTATATGGTATACTTGTATTGCTTGGGAATTTAATTAACCATAACATAAACTCCTTGAAGCCATGATGAGATAACTATAAGAATGTTGGACAGTAATTGAACATCAATTAACTACCAAGTCTTCACTATGTGATTCAGGGAATGTCAAATCTTGTAATTGGCATCACTTATCTTGGGTTGGTGGTTTTGGCTGTATCGGTAGTATACATGAGACAGATTGACTTTAGTTGAGGCAGTTATTTTCATTCGGTATATGACTTGTGATCAGGCTTGGTGTAGTGTCTAGAGAAGCCGGACAATTTTTAACAGTAATCTCTGGATTAATATGCAGAAGGGTCTTGTAACTGTGTAAGCATGGGTTAGGTTCAAATGGATGCAGTTTCTAAGTGTCAATGTTTCCAGTAACTTTGGGATAAATTGCCATAGCTGAGATAAAAGTGTTTATTTATACTTAATATACATATAACTGCTTTGTGTTCTTCTGCAGTTAAACTTTACTTGAGACATTTTTCTTCTACACGTGGTCTACGTAATGGATATAATCTCTCAACTTCAAGAACAAGTTAATTTACTTGCCCATCTTGCTTTTAATACCATTGGGACATTGCAAAGGGATGCTCCTCCTAATCGGCTGTCACCAAATTATCCAGAACCACCTGCGCATCCTACAGAGGATGCTGCAAATTTTGCAGAACAACCCAAGCTTATGAGTGCTGCATTGGTAAAGGCTGCAAAGCAGGTATGTACATTTTTAGTCAAAGTATAAAAGAATAAGGCCAGTATATAGGACCAGATTTCTCTCATATGCAGTAGGAATGGGAATTTAAGAGTTTGAAGCACATCAAACACAACAGAACATGACGTAAGCGGTGGTGTACAGTAGAATTCAAAGCTTAAGGGCATGTAATGCAATGGACTTGAAAAATCATATTAATACATCACTATTGATGGATATAAGTTAGGTAACTTCAACTGATATATGGAAGTGTGTCAAATATATGTTTATGTGTTGAGTACTGAAGAAATTGCAGCAATAACAACAAGCTTTATCTTACTAGGTGGGGTTGACTACATGAATCTCATGTATTTTGGTATGAAGAATAGTATTGAGATTATGCACATAAAAAATAACGCAGTTCAGACTTAAGATGTATGTTATGGTATCCTTGCTAGGAAGACATGACTCTGCTCTTCAAGTGTTTGTCCTTCATGCTTATATGAGCATTTGAGTGAAAATAAGTTCTACTTATTGTTTATTCTGTAAAATAGTTGATTGATTGTCTGTCAAGGCTCACAAGGCTGTATAAGATGGCATCTTTTCTTCCCTGCAGGCTTGCAACCTTTGTTTCTTATTGTGTGTCCCTCCTTAAAGGGTCCGAAGTGACTTTATTTCATGACTTCCTAGTGATTCTCTGAGTATGTCATCTGTTTCTTGTCCAGTTTGATGCATTGGTTGCTGCGCTTCCCATATCTGAGGGAGGGGAAGAAGAACAACTTAAGAGGATTGCAGAATTACAGGTATGGAGCTCAAGTTATTTGTTAATCATATAGCATTTATTGTTTCCTGGCTTGTAAGAGTAATCTTATGTGGGCATTTGTCCTTGAAAAACCCACGGGAATATATTGTTGTCTGATAATTTCCATGCCTTGCGAGAGTGCGATGCTGCTAAATCTAATCCATATTCCTACACTGTTCTTTAATCTTCACAGGCTGAAAATGATGTAATAGGCCAAGAACTTCAGAAGCAGTTGGAAGCCGCAGGTCTGTTTTCCTTCTTCACTTTATCTCTCTAGTATTTGCCTTCTCTGCTATTTAGAAGGTATATTAATTCTAAATAGCCAAACGAGAATATGAAATACTTCTATGTAGCAAACAGCATATTCAAGGAGTTGGTATAAGAAAGCCAAACAAATAATAAATTGTCTCATGGATCTATAGATGGCATTGCACTTTTTTCCCCCCCATTTGTAGTCGAATAATGCTGTGTATATGTGATCCACATATATCAGTTCTTAATAGAATTACAACAAAGATAGGATGATACTTTAGTTTCTTGGCGAATATGATCTGTGACTGCCTAACATTCTTCGTATGTTGTTGATGTCAGAGAAGGAATTAAATCAAGTGCAGGAGTTGTATAGGCAAGCATCAGATAACTGCCTGAACTTGAAGAAACCAGATTAAAGCGTCCATTCAATTCTTCGTGTTATTTTGCAGAAGGCTAGGAGATTAGCACTTTGTATATGGAGGCGCGAACTTTATCTTTTCTCTTGACATGAAACATCAAATCTGCCGAAAATAGCTTGACCTTCGTTCTCTGATGTGACCTGTACATGCTATGAAGATGGTATTTGTGCTAGAAACTGAGTTAGCAGTGGTCAGATATGTTGAATATTTCTACCTCTTCATCTTTTTGTTTTTTTGTTTTTTAAATGTGATAACATCTACCTCTTCATCTTTTACCATAAAGAAAAAGGCTTATAATTATTTCTTTCATCTTATTATCTTCTAAAATGTCTTATTATGTTTATATGAACAAGAACAAGAACAAGAATGTCCGGCCCTCAAGAACACCCAGAGTGACCATATTGATTCCAATTTTTGACATATACAAATGTGTAAGTTGTTGTGTGTTCTTTTTTTTGGAAAAAAAAAAAGAAGTCTTTTAATGATGCGTGTAAAATGAGATGTAAATTCTGGACTGTGCCATTGAGTATCTCATTTTCTCTCATATATGAATGTAAGAACTTTGTTTTTTCTAATTCCAAGGCGGAAACCAGCAAAATATTACATGAAAGTAAGACTTATTAATCTTCTCTTATCATCATCCATCACCTCGGGCCACTGGGGTGGAGGTTGATCTTGATCAAAAGAAAGAAAAACTTAATTAGAACTATTCATTTGCCTCAACCTCCCAAAACTTAATTAGAACTATTCATTTGCCTCAACCTCCCAAACGAGTCGGGGAGATATTTGACAGCTTTAATCTCCTAAAAAGAAGGGGTAATGGAGAGACTCTGCTCTTAGTTAGTTTCATCCATTATTTCTTTGTTAATAAATTTTTTTTCTTAATTTTATGCAATTTAAATACATACATCCGCAAATACAGACTTGAGCGGCTTGCATTAGAATCCGTTCCCCCATTTTTCCTACCATTCCCTCTATTAAAATCTGTAGCTTGTTGGCAGATTTGCCACGTGGCAGACCATATTGCAGAGTAAACCCCATTCCATTGCTTCACAGGAATCATGTATTTATGCTGTGCTTCGGTGTAATAGGGAGGATGCATGTATGATAAGGTGAAAAAGAAATAGAAGTAACATACATATTTAACTTAAAAATTGTTATTATACATTCCACAGATTTTAGGTATGGCGAGAATTTCTGTTTCTTCATGGCAAGAAGGGAAAATTTCCATAGGCGTTTTATTCATCCAACCAAACACGTCTTTTGACTCTTCCCATCATTATTAAATTATCCATTGTGTGTTACCCGATATTTTTTTTTTTGGCTGAAAGTTCTATCCTGCCAAATACTACCTCAGGTCCTAATTATAAGAGTTAGTTGACTAATTTGAGAAGATTAAAACAAGAAGTTAAGTTAGTTATTTATAATAAATATGTGTTGTCTTTCTTAACATATCCTTGCTAATTAAGTATATTGGCTATAACTACAATTGTTAGGAATACTATCTTGGAAAAAAAAGTATAAATATGAAAGATAAAGTAGATTGAGATTTTATATTTAGAACCAAAATAAAAATAAAACAAGATCTTATATTAAGGACCGGAGTTAGTATAATAGAGACTGAAGCTGCGTGTCCATTTATTTAGATGATTGTTTCCTAGCAACTTCTATTTGATTATTTTAAATACTTTTTTAACATTAATAAGATTAACTTCATAAAATGGGCTGACGTGAAAGACTGCATGGTGGAATTAATCAAATTACTTCATGCTATGGAAGTCATAGGTTCCCCCATCAAGGGAAGTTACAAGGAAAGCTTGCGTCCAATCATTAGTCATAAACAATAACATATTTAAATTTGGTGACGACAGCCTAAAACTTCATAAAATGGATAAGTACCTATTTGTATGTAATCTGATATGTCACATTTTCACATTTGAATTTATTAATTGGTATTCAACGGCGACAAATAATAGATATTACCACTTCTTGTACTTAATATAAGAGTCAGATAATTAATTTTTGAATATTAAAGAAGTTAGTTAAGTTAATTATTTGTAATAAATAAATTGGTATTGTCTTTCCTAAAATATCCTTATTAATCATGTGCATTAGAATAAAAATTATTTAACATGTATAATCATTATGGGGACTGCTTTGAAAAAAATGAATAAATATCAAAAACAAAACAAATTAAGCTCATATGTTTATGACCAAATTGAATCTCCAACTAATTCTTATATTTAGAACCGGATGAAGTACTAGCATAAACAAAATGGAAAACCCTAGAATATTGCTATAGAACAAGACTTTAGTACTATAAAAGACCATTCAAACATGATGGGGTTTCCTACAGAGAATCAGCATTGTGATTGAGAAGGAAGATCGCATTCTCAAAAATGGGCTTTCTAGACCATCTTCCTCAATGCTTTTCTTGTCCCCCTTCCCCCCTTCATAAACGCTTTCCTTTGCAGGTTTTGACCTATACATCTTTCTTTCCTTTTTACATCTTTAAACTTTATGTATTCACGAGGTTTTTCAATATAATACCGTATATATATGTAACTAATTAAAATCATTTCTCTTTGTGTTGATGATGAGGATATATTAGACAGTAAATCTGAGGGTGAAAATGGACTGCCAAGGTTGTGTCAGGAAAGTTAGGAATGCTGTGGAAGGCTTGAAAGGTCTCTCTTCAACCTTTTTCTTCTTCAATATATGCATCTGTTCCATAACAAGAGTTTATTTTCATACTTTACAGTTTTTTTTTTGGGCCAAAAGAGTCACTTCCATTAATCACAAAATAAGAAGAGGGTGGGGGAACTTGAACCCCATTGTTAAGACACACCTCCTTTGAGCTACTCACTACTAAACGGTCCTAAAGTTCATAGATTCTTCTTATTTGTTTCAATTAGGGGGGCATGCACTAATAGTATGAGATTACAAACGGGATTGGATTTGTGATCTCTCACTTTACAGGGGAGTATTTATACCACTAGGCTATAAGGTCATCAGCCATGCTTGTTTTAGGCTGATAAGAACAATCAATGTTGATTTTCAATTGATTCTTCTCAGGTTTTTTTCTAACCACCTCACTTTGTCTTCTTCCCAGCTATCCCCTCTTTCAATAAGCCATTTGCTTCCAAATACTCATCCACAAGACATACTGCATTCTGCATAATGCTTCCCTAGTGACCAAACTACCAAATACTGCTCACCACATATTATGTTTAATTTTTTGGACCACTTTCAATCCCCAGATCAGCTTCCACAGATAACTATCAGTGTTTCATTAGATTTTTTTTGGGTTACTAGTTTTTGGCCAAAACTTTAAAAAAAAAAAATCGATTTTGTTGTGATTGCTAACACATTTAGGATTTGGGTCTGAGTGTTTTGAGTTACATCCACACATGCATGCACACTTCTTTTGCCACAAGCTGTCATCATTTCTATTTCTCTGAAATTTAACCAGCTAATTTCATCTAAAGATTCAGAGAGTGGTTTGATTTGAAAGCTGTGTATTATATTACATGTGTCATTGTGTCAGACTCCTACTTTAGCCGTTGGATTAAGTCAACATATCAATTTCTAAACAGGTGAAGGAAAGACAATTTTTAATGAAAGAGAAGCCAAATATGAACACAAATAAAAAATCACAGATGAAAAAGATATATCATCTAAAAATCTTTTAATGCTATCTCAGTCATAATAATTAATGAACTAAAAAGCGTCATGTAGCTAGCTTCTTAGCTTATCGTGTCTTTATTTTATTTTATTTGGTGAACAGATAGCTTCTCATTTTGTTCAAAGGAATCGCATTAGTTTGTTTATGCACTCAAGCCATGTTTGACCTTTGAAACTTTCTTTTAATTTTACTTTTCAATAATCAATCCTTCTTGCTATTAAAATAATACAAATATCAATTTTTTAATTTATTTGAGAAGATGATTTTTTTGGGTGAAATGAAAAGATGATATTTTGAGATATGTATGGAAGTCAAGATAACATCTACGTTTACTTTGAAAACAACTGGCTATTAGCCTATTATATTATATAAACAAAATAATATGGGATCATACATATAATATGAATGTTTTTAATTCATAATGATTTTTTTTTGGGTATTATGTTTTAAAATGGGGGAAACTGTGGAAATGAAGGGGTGGAATCAGTGGATATAAACCAGAAGCAACAAAGGGTGACAGTGAAGGGGCATGTGGATGCAGAAGAAGTAATAGAGGAAGTGAAGAGCACAGGGAAGAGAGTAGAAGTATGGCCATTTGTGGATCATGAGTTAGTCACTTTCCCTTATGAAGTTGGAGTTTATGACATCAAAGCTCCTAATGGTTTTGTCAGAAATGTGCCTCAAGCACTTGGAGACCCTAAGACTCCTGAGATGAAGCTTATGGTACTCTTCAATGATGATAACCCTAATGCATGTTCTATCATGTAAAATTATACTGCCTCCTCGACCCTTAATATAACATATAGTTTGTAATTCAATTTGAACTATAAATTATATCTTATATTAAGGACCTGAGATAATAACTAGATATGTTTCTTAATTATATATTGTATGGAAGATAAGATGAGATTTTATTTGCGTAGTTTGTAGAGAGTGTTATTATTGTAAATTTTATGTTGATATCAATAAGTATTCGCCCAAAATGCAAAAACAAAATCTAGATATATATGAATGTCACTTTGATTAGAATTTAAAAAAAAAACATATGTGCAAGGTACATCTTTGTAATTTCGCATAAACGATAATTAATTATGCAAAACTAGGCCACTAATTTCTCACATAGAGTGAACAACATTAATGTTTATCCTTAAATATATAGTATACTTTTTTTTTTATTTAGTTTGTATTATTATGAATGATAGAAGTTGTGAAATAAGTCTTAATATAAAAGTTAATTGACTAATTTGAATAGATTAAGAAAATTAGTTAAGGTAGTATTTGTAATAAATAGGTGTTGTCTTTCTTAAAATATCTTTATCAATCTAAAACTACTATTGTTACAAAGACTATTTTGAGAGAAAAAATATATATAAATATAAAATATAAAGTAAATTTTAATTTTATATTTAAGATCAAAATAAAACTCAAACAAGTTTTTATGAGGATCAAAGGTAGTAGTAGACATAGAGAAAGCATGAAGATGAATAATACAAATAATAAAACAAGAAAGAGAGAATAGGAGAAGCACATAAAGCTTGGCATATGTCGACTCCAATCTAATCAAAATCTGCAAATTTGATGATAAAAAGAGATGTTGCGGGATGCCGGAGACCCTGAAAGATATAATGATCAGGCACTAAACATAAACATTTCTTTCGGTGATAATTTGAACTTTTGTTCACAATATCGTGAGAGACTAATTCTTTCTCCATTGATGATTAGCCAAATGGAGGCGACTAAGGGACTGTTTGGGTGACCTTCAAAACCATGATTTGGGAGGCAAAACCATGGTTTTGGTGAGATATCACCCAAACAGCATCAATTTTGGACTAATAATCTGAAACCATGGTTTGGGCCAAAACCATGGTTTTGGAATCCAAAACCATGGTTTTCAGGAGAAGTGAATTCATTCTGTTTTTTGCTCAAATTGGAGAGATGATTGTGCTTGTCAAAGTAGATCTCAACAATAATATGACTTTAATATTTCTCAATTATTTTTTTATAAACATATTTAACATTATATCTTATAAACATATATACACATATTAATTATTTATTAATTACATTATCTTATGTATTATTAATTATGTTGGTAAAAAATATATTATTAACAATTTTATTCTTTCAAATTAAAATATATCATAAAATTTATCTTTTATATAATTATCATATTAACTTATGTTTTTTTTAGTAATTTGTATATATAAAAAGTACTTCTGATAACAACTATCCAAACACTCTCACTTCTCAGAATCACTTTTTTACAAAATCTATTCTTCACAGAATCTATTCTTCTCAGAATTTATTCTCCAAAAATTATTTTCCAAACCATAATTTAGTTTCATCCAAACACACTCTAAAAGGCATACATCCGGTTTGGGTTTAGTCCAATTGGCCTAAAAGGATGACCAAACCAAATTTAATCAACGCCTAGGGTCTCCGTTTGCCCGTTACCACTGCAAGAGAATTAAAATAAAAATGAGTATTTCTAGATATTCCCTCTATTTTCATTTACAAGACTTGGGGGGAGTTTGATACTTTCAATTTAAAAGACTTAAGAAAACTGTTACAAAAATTAATAAAATATTCATGTCTCTTTTTTAAAAAAAAAATCATTTTTAATATTCTTAGCATAATCAATGTTTTTTTTATCATATCGTTCTCCGAAAAAAACTATTTTACCAATTAAAAAATAATTTTAATAATTTGTGAAAAAATTTTTATAATATATTTAACTAAGTTTATTAATTACTAACATTTAAACTGTTTTCCCATTTCAGCTGACGGTAGTCCAAGGTTTCCGGCCGTCTCTCGGCACGTTTACAGCGCATTGCCGTCTCGGCTACTAGCCTCCAGAGTCCATACTCGTTCGCGCTCTCTCTCCGCCTTGCCTGAGCTCTAAGTAGTCGCCGCCGCAGCACCGCTCGTCCTCTCCAGTCTTCACCGCACGGCCTCGGTCTGCTCCTTTCATCTCTCCAGTCTGCGCGTTGCTTTCTGTTCTTCGTGTGTGCTGTATGCTTCGTGTTCGGGTAAGCTTCGTGCACGCCTCTGTTGTTGGATTCTGGCAGATTTGAGCTCGTGTTTGGCCTCGGGTAAGCTTTCCCGCCTTTCTGCTTCGTCTATTGTCTTCGCGTGTCCCTGTGAAAAATGTTGTTGGTTTCAAATGGCTGCTCAGAATTTCAGGTTGTATATGATTCTTGTGTATTAGTTCCGATTAAATTGTTTCTGGTTCGAAATGCTGTTAAAACACTATATTCTTAATGTTTGATCTTTTCAGAGCAAGATTGAGTTGTAAGGTCCAGTGTTAAAAGACTGCATAAAATTTCAGGTTGTTTAAATGGTGATGTTAGGCTTTGGACTGACTATATTTTCTTTGGCCTGAAGATAAAACCTGACTTGTCAAACCAGAGCTTAGCTTCTTATATCTCTCGAATGAGAACGGTGGCATGTCCGGCCAACACTCACAATGCCATTCATTTACGTTTTCCTCAGCGGAAGAGCGCCCCGCTTCCGTCTTGACTGTTGTCCATTCTTCGAGCTACCCTTTTACAGTCAAGCGTTATTCTGTTTTCTTCAGCACACGCCCTGTATCCTCATTTGCAACGCCATCATTGTTCCCGTGTACTGTGGGAGTATAATGATGCATTTCTCTTTTCCAGTCTTAAGGAGAGATGTTTGCAGAATGATGGGTTCTGAATGCAACTTACAGAGTGCTTTGAACTTAGCAGCGCACTGTTAGCATATTCGTATTCTAACTATTTGTATATTGTGTGCTCTTCTTGTGATTGAATTGAACGATTGCTGGTTATAATAGCAAATTTTAGAATTTGTGAGCTGATAGTTCAAGGGGTTCATAGAGCTTGGGAAATGTAACCTTTTAATACCATTCCTTTGACCATGTCTATCCCCAACTGTCTCTGTCATGACCGATAAATTTCTCTCTATTTTTGCCATGATATACATGCCCTTTTCTTTTGTTTGTTTGTTCGGTTTTGACAAGTAATTTTTTTTCAAAAAAATTTGAGTTGGAACACAAGAAAAACCATCTGTGTAAAAAATTTCTATCTATTTAAGATGCTAGCCTGTCCCGAATTTCACACCACTTTTCTCTCGGATTCTGTCTGCGTTTCAAATCAATATGTAACTGAACTATAGAATTTCCAAAACCCACTCATTATGAGGGAAGTACTTGTATGCTGCCTACAAGTGCGCAAAACTACCATATAAGAACTACTCCACAGTCTCCCTATCATCCAACTCTCTTCCTAGACCCTTCAGAATAAAAATTGAATATTTGGGCTGTCAATTTTTATGTTGAATGTTGCTTGCTTAGGGTCAATGTCATTTTTAAATGTCATGCTTTGTTAATAATTTGGCGGAAATCTTTTAGCATTTACTTGAACCTATTTATCCAGTAATTAATGTTACTGATTTGCTTAATGTGGCATTGATTTATTCGATGCTTATCGGGATTCTACTCTTATGATATTGTTATTTTCTTATATATAATTGAAAACCTTTGAAATGTATATTTACTAATGGAAAAAACTAGGATATCATCTTTTATTATCTTTTCTGAGATGAGATATTAATTCAGTTTAGGGCACGCGCGCGCTCTGTCGTTATTAATTGCATTGTCTTGCTGAATGCAGTTGAAAATCAAAATTGGCTGCGTTATTTAATGAAGTATGAAGATTTTCTATGATTGCAGCAACTGGGTCTTGACTACAATATGCTGAAATGTCTTGGCCCAAAACCAAGCACAATCCTTACCATCTTACAAGGATGCAATAACATCAAAAGGCTTAAAAAGATCCATGCCCATGTCATCATTAGTGGACTCCAACACCATGTTACTATTTCCAACAGACTCTTGAACTTCTGTGCTGTCTCAGTCGCAGGTTCCATGTCTTATGCTCAACATCTGTTCCATCATATGGACAACCCTTCAACTGAAGCATGGAACTCCATTATCAGAGGCTTTGCACAGGGCTCGTCACCTCACCAAGCACTTCTTTACTACAACGCCATGATTTCTGCTTCAGTTTCTCAACCTAACGGCTATATTTTCTCATTTGTTCTCAAGGCTTGTGAGAAGATTAAGGATGAAAAGAAATGTAGAGAAGTTCATGGATCTATAATCCGACGAGGGTATGAGAGAGATATTGTTGTTTGTACTAATCTGATGAGATCATACGCAGTTAATGAATTGATTGAGGGGGCACAAAGAGTTTTTGATGATATGTCTGACAGAGATTTGGTTTCTTGGAATTGTATGATATCGTGCTATTCTCAAGCAGGTTTTCATCAAGATGCTTTGACATTGTACAATCAAATGCGGGAAAAAAATGTTGGCTTGGATGGGTTTACACTTGTTGGCTTGGCTGCATCATGTGCTCATATTGGAGCTTTAAATGTTGGGATTCAAATGCACAAAATTGCTCGTAAAAAGGGTTTTATGTATGACATTTATGTTGCCAACGCTCTTATTGATATGTACGCAAAATGTGGAAGCTTAGACAATGCACTTTCTATCTTCAACAAGATGAAGAAGAAGGATGTGTTTACTTGGAACTCGATGATTGTTGGCTATGGAGTTCATGGTCATGGAGATAAAGCAATATCACTTTTTAAGCAGATGTTGATGGCTGGAGTCCAGCCGAACTCTATCACATTTCTTGGTTTATTATCTGGATGTAGTCACCAGGGTTTAGTCCAGGAGGGTATTCAATATTTCCACTTGATGAGCTCTGACTTCAAGCTGAAACCCGAAGTCAAGCATTACGGTTGCATGGTGGATCTTTTTGGACGAGCGGGAAAACTTGATGAGGCACTTAAGCTTATAAAATCTTCTTTCTTTGATGCTCCAGTGCTTTGGCGCACATTACTCAGCTCTTGCAAAATTCATAGAAATGTGATGATTGGCGAAATTGCCATGAACAATCTGGTCCGAGTTGGGATGTCAAATGCTGGTGATTATCTGCTAATGGCCACATTATACGCTGGAGCTAAGGATACAGAAGGGATTGCACGGATGAGAAAACTTATGCAAAGCCAAGGAATAAAGACCACCGTGGCCTGGAGCTGGATTGAGGTTGAAGATCAAATTTACAAGTTTCTTGTGAATGATAATTCACACCCTGAGTCTGACAACATTTATGCCAAACTAGAGGAAATTATTCATCAGGCTGCCTTATTTGGCTATGTACAAGAGGAAGAGGTTATGGACACATATCCTTTATTTAGTACTGAAGTGAGTTTGGGGAGTTCAAGTTCTAAACATAGTGAGAAATTGGCAATTGCCTTTGGGTTGATAAAAACACCAGCCAAATCATGTTTACGAATAATGAAGAATTTGAGGGTTTGTAATGATTGTCATACGTTTATAAAATATATTTCTAAAGCATTTGATCGGGAAATTATTGTTAGGGATAGAGTCAGGTTTCATCACTTCAGTAATGGATCATGTTCATGTGGAGACTATTGGTGAAAAGTCATATTTATCTTCAAAGCCTCTTAATTATTTTCTCCACTTTTATGACATGGTTTTATAATTACTGAGATGCTGAACTTCAGCTTTGCACGAATCATTATCCTTCGTACTATTGATTATTTTAGTGATTACTATGATAGAACCCAAGATTCTGACAGGCTTATAACTTCCACATTTGATTCTTGTTCGAAGGAGACTATAAAGTGTCTTATTATGAGAATCATTCCCATGTTTAGCTAGTTTTACTTTGGACGGGAAGGTTGTCCCTTGGTGGTTGAGCTTGTAACTTCATGTTAGGACCTATATTAGGCTGCCTCTGGGATTGGATGAAGTGATGTTTGTTTTGGTGATCCATGCTCAGAAGTAGCCAAATTATCGAAGGTCATCATACTGGAGGAGGCTACTTTCTGATTATCACCCTCACTAGAAGTCAAAGGAGCACTCTTGGAGGTTGAACTCGCACCTCTGGAAAAATCCACTAACAGGTTCATCCTCAGAACAGCTACTATCGAATCAAACTAGGTACTGGAGACCCTGGAGCTTGATTTCTTGCTTTTGAATCCGAGGGTCTTGTGACTTTAGAGCCAGGTTATAACTATGAATACTCATTTGTGTTTCCTTTATATATGCATGAATGGTGATATCACAAAATGTATATTGAAATGCATTTTACTATATCTGCACAATTGGTTAGTTATTTCATTGGTGATTTCTTACTCTCTCTCCGTGTGTTTCTCCTCTTATTCTGAAGTTTTAGTCATTCTCTCATTACATTGCTACCTATTACATCTGTCCCACTCACTTTAAGGGTGTGTTTGGTATGAGGGATTTGAAAGGGAGGGGGGGGAGGGGAAGGATTTTAATCATTTTCCCTTGTTTGGCAACACACAAATTTTAGGAGGGGAGGGAAAATTTTTTAAAATTTCCCCTCCCCTCCCCTCCTCAACCTCCCCTCCAAAATTGGGAGGATTTGGAGGGAAAAGGCAATATTTTGTCATATTATGACCATTATGTTCATATTTTGTCATGTTGTGACCATTATGTTTATATTTTGTCATGTTGTGACTATTATGCCCACGCCTTAAATAAAATAAGAGCAAAATTGTCCATATTAAAATATTTTTCCCTCCCCTCCCCTCTTTTTTTATAAATCCAAACAAGGTGATATTAAAATCCTTCCACTCCCCTCCCCTCCCCTTCCCTCCATTAAAATCCCTCCCCTCCCCTTCCTCTCATTGAGCCAAACATACCCTAACACTCTAAACCAAATAGCTGAAGGAAGAATATGAAATCAAACAGATAATGGTGTTCTGTGAGTACTTAGCACCTTTTGATGTAATCCAACCATCATTGATCAGGTTGCCTCATTGCTATCCCTGTCCTTGGTGGAGTTTTACTTGGAAGTACTCTTCTAGTCCTAGGGAGAGAGAGAAGGTTTTTTCTTGGTCCTATTTATAAGTGATCTCATTAAATTTTTAATATGAATGTACTATTTTGTCCTTAGTTGTTATATTTTAAAAAAAAATTAATACAATTTAAGATTTTTATTAGTATGTCTGAAATATATTGGAGGAGTATATTCTTTAAGCCCAACCAATCCACTTTATGTGAAGTGTGAACATCACAGCAGAGATCATTAGGCTATGTAGTTAACCTTTTTAATTGGTAAGCTAAATATTCTTCTGGTTTTTAATGTCAAACTTAATTAACCAATTTGGATATATTAAGAATATTAATTAAATTATTAAATATGATGTTTTTTTTCCCCTAAAACACACTGAGCATTTTCATTAATTCTTTCCCTTCTTCTCTTATTTAATTATTGTTAAGAGAATATCAATATGGTGGATTTGACAAAAAAATTGATAAATATGTTAAATATGTATTACATACAAGACTAACATCGACTTCCCAATAGGTCCTATTTTGATAGGAAGAGTACCATATTAACCCTCCTTTTGAATTCTTTTGTATTTTTTTCCTCTCCTTCTTAGCTTTGTGTGTGTGTGTGTGTGTAAAATAAAAGATCATGATTTTTTTTCTAATTCAGTGACATAGCAGACCCCTCTTTTCATTTATCCTATGGCTGATGCAACATTCACTTGCATATTAGTAAGAAGGAAGCACTGGAGCAATTTCTTTTTTGCTTTGGATGCTTCTGGATAGGGTGTTCAAAATAGTCCCGTCCTGGCTAGCTTGTCCCAGTCTTTGATCATATTGGGATGGGACGGACTCATCTTGAAGTTTTTTGGAACGGGACAAACCAGAATAGGACAAAAAATAAGACTAGGACAGACGGGACATGGGACGAGATCTTCTTGTTTCGGTCTCATCGTGGCAGTAATATTTTTTTTTATTTTTTATCTTATAATTATTAAATGTTAAAAACACAATGTTTAGGTATGTGTAATATAAAATGTTTATATTTGTAGCTTTTAGCACATATGTAGTTGAATGGCTATTATTTAGGGGGTGTTTGGAAGCACCCAGAAATGCTTATCAAAAGCACTTTTCCGCAAAACGAGGCAAACTCTTTTACATATTTGTCTCGTATACCGTAAAAGCACTTTTAAAACCATGGTTTGGTTTTCATCCAAACACCCTTTTATTTAGAGCTCTTATAATTGCTTATGATTTTTGGAATGGTGAAAATGAATTTTGGAGTTATTGTGTTACCAATTATTATTATTTGGGTTTTTGTTTAGGATTGTTAAGCCCAAAAAAATTAAAATAAAATGAAATAAAAAGGTGCTTTCAAAAGGCAAAAGCCCAAAGAACTAGAAATAGAGAGGGGAAAAAAAATAAAAATCCATTGTAATAACCCAACTGTAAGCCAAAAATGTCTTAAAAAAAAAAAGCAAAAGGAAAATGGGACTGTCTCAACCAGGACTGGGATAGCAAGAGCAACGGGACAGGATCCCGCTTCTAGAGGAATTGAGGTGAATTTTAAGAAAAAGCATGAGCTGGTCTTCTTGAACCCTAAATGCAGGCCAAAGCCTTCCAAATAAAGGGGTTAGAGTACTTCAGTCCCAACAACAACAAAAAGTGGTTAGAGTGTGACCTGGGATCTATCATACCACGTTCAACATTGGCAAAATTATAATAAAATCCCACACAGGAAAATTAAATGCAAAAAATTCTTTTAAATTATCAATTTATTTTAAAGTCTTAAGAGACCTCATTGTAAAAAATTTTATTCATTTAATTATCAAATTATTTTTATGTTTTAACGTTTGTAATGACAACTGAAAGAACAGTTATTGACAATTTAAAATGTAATAATTAATAACTTTCATAGCAAGTACCTTAAAAAAAGATAATTTGATAATTAAAAAAATAAATTCTCTTGAAGTCTTTTAAAACTTCAGAATAATTTAATAATTTCAAAAGATTTTTTTGTATTTAATTCTCTTAAGTAGGATTCTATTGTAATTTTCCCTTCAACATTTCCAATTTTTTCCTCCATCCTACCAGAGCAACAAGCACCGTCTTCCCAGCTTGGTCCTTTTATTTTTGTTTAATACATTTAAATCTTTGATTTTACTTTTAAAAAAATTTGCTTGATTCAACCCTTAATTGCAATGTTTAATTTTGTCACTGATAAAGAGATTTAAAATTAAAAAAAAATTAAAAGAGCCAAAAGGCTACGAAGACACAAGGAGGAATGAGGAGACGGTGGTAAGTGTTCAAGTGGGATGGAGAGAAATTGAAAATGTTGAACAGAAAAGACTAGGATGATGTTGGTTTTGTTTGAATCAACGTTATAAAAGTGCTTATAAATATTTTCACGCAACTTGAGATAAAACTCCTCTCATATACTTATTTTGTATTTCATAAATCACGTTTGAAAAGCTACTATAAGTCATTCCAAACAAACTTGTTGTTTGTCAGATGATCTCAATAAACACCTAATGCGGATTGTATATGACCTGAGGTATGCTGCTTTAGATTTCGCAGCAAAATTGTTATCATCTAGGTCAGAACTTTTTGTTTCTCCTTCAACTCGTTGAAATTGCATGGTTGCTGAACTTGGCATGCTGTCTATTAGCATTCAGCAATGTCCGCTTTAACTTGATTCACTGATATTTATTTGTTGTAAAATGAGGTATTGTCACAAGTTGTTTATCAGTTAAATTTTAATTTACATAAGAATAATATATCCTGAAATAATAAATCATTTTTTTAATATTTCAATACCCCCGAGGATAGCAGGAATCTTGAACCAAGAAGCCTGGAAACCGAAAGAATTAGAAATACAAACCATCGATCCCCTCCTTTGTGTTCTCCGATGTCGGCGTGATTGTCAACTCCGACACCCATCACGCGGCTACCTACAGTGGGACTTCACCTTGTGATTGAGTATTCGTTAATTTTTTGCTATTGTAAGATCTGTTAATTGTTAATTGGAAACTGATTACTTAGCAAGAGCTTGACAGTGTTAAATATTTTCATTCCATTCCTTTGTGCTTCTAAGGAAGCTGTCGATATTTATCCCTCGAGATCGATGGTTCTAAGAACCCAGCTATTTCAGGCTCTTCTATTCGAAGTCAATAACTCAGATGCCAAACCCATTGAAAAAAGACAGTATCTATCGCAAACGAATAAATAGATATGGGAATGGGACATATCTGGAACCCGTTTCAATGTGACAGAGTCAGGCTGTTTTTGGATGAAACCAAATCATGATTTAGAAAAGTAATTCTGGAGAATAGATTTTAGAAAGAATAGATTTTATAAAAAAATGATTTTGAGAAGTAAGAGTGTTTGAATAATTGTTATCAGAAGCACTTTTTATATATACAAAGTAAAAAAAAAGACATAAGTTAATATAATAATTATAAAAAAATAAATTTTATGATATATTTTAATTTGAAGAAATAAAATTGTTAATAATATATTTTTTATTAATATAGTTAATAATACATAAGATAATATAATTAATAAATAATTTATATATATTTATAAAATATAAGATTAAATATGTTTATAAAAAAAATAACAAGATATATATTCTTTAGGCTCTCACACTCTCTCTTTTTTCTTCAAAAACAAAAAAATTTATTTTTTCTAAAGCAATGGTTTTGGGATAGTTTTGTTTTGGTTTCTGAGTAAGTGTTTGGATGATTTATTCCCAAACCTAATGGTTTGGGGGTGTCACCCAAACACAACCTCAGTATCCCGGCTCAGAAGACGAGTCTGATCTCATCATCGGACCTCTCTCTCTTTGCAACGATTAGAAGAGAAAGAGTGGAAAGCTAGGTTCATGCAATGATTTGATGTTCTTATAAGAACTCTATTTCTGCAGAAAGTAACAACAGATGAAACCGAAAACCAAGCAAATCTGATGAATAGGGATCAACGAGTTGTCGTTGAGGATGACAATGGATGATCCAGTATATCTCCTTAACCAAGGAAACACAGTAGAGATACGGCTTTTCTAGGGTTGGATCCCGATTCTCGGCTGTGATTTCCTTGATTAAGAAGATAGGAATGGATCAGAGATCTGAAGGAAAGGAGAAGACGTGAGACTCTGAAAATGGCAAAATGCCGTGTGATAACTGAGGAGCCAGCGGCCGGGTGAAAGTTGTGGGGTAAGTGAAATATATAGTGAAAGGGATGGTAAAATCCTAAGCCTAATATTTCATGGGCCAAAACCCCAAAAGGCCAATCAACCCAATTCAAAGATTCTGGAATTGAGTGATTTTACCAATATGCC